GCTTATTTATTGGGAAAAATAGATATCTCATGGTATCACATCCATAGTCATTTGCTGTAAGTGATTTCTGTCTGCTTAAAGGTAGGAAGATAGGAAGAATCAAACTGAGCTGAAACAGAATCGAAAATACTCCTGATAGACATTAATGTTATTAAAATGGCTCTCAAGAGCAAGCTAAATTCTCTCTTCCCCATTGTTTTTCCTTATGTCCCCATAGCCTCTTTCTGAATGGGATTGAACCATTTTTATGCAAATTTAAATGCGAAGCTTTAACCACAGATAAGTTCCCAGAGGCCAAGAATTCAAGACTGAAAACACCTGTTCTAAACCATAGAGCTTCAGTCTGCTGGTCTCTCGTAGCTGTAAGCAGGCCCAGGATTTTGCATTTTCAAAGACTAGATGAAGCAAAGCCTGTTGCTCTAATATTCCTGCAGGGGAATTTCAAATACTTAGTTTAGGAGAAGAGATCAATTTAAATCTGTGTAACTCCACCAGCAAAGCCTCCTGTCAGTTTTTTATTTAATGGAGACATCTTTGGAGAGGTGCAGTATAGGAGGAAGGGAAATTAGGAGCGTGGTGTGGTGTCACAGCATTTCTCCTGAATTTGATTCACTAGAGCAGTTTTGACAGAGGACATCAACATAGTTCTGGGGATGTAAAGTATGTTGGTATAAATGTTGTCATCCACAGACTGTGTAATAGAAAATATGAAGTTAATTCTAAGAGAGTTTAGTGTTCTAAAGATTAGTGTCAAAAGACAAATAAATGTTTGTTTTGCGCTTTGTGATCCAATAAATCTTTTCTTAGATTAGGTTCTGTAGAAATAGCTTCTCTGGGAGTGTTAGCTTGTACAGAGGAGGCTATAGAGCAAGCACGTTTACTTCCATCACTTCACTCACCTAAATAGAGAAGGAAATAATTTCACATTGCCTGCACCATTCCCTTCTGTCCATCTGCCTCTTAGTCTGTCAGAGACCTCTCCAGACCATTGGTTATAGGGACAAGTCTCCTTAGCTTAGAGGAAAGCACTGACAAGGGCCTAGACTTATGAGACACTGTCCTAGGTATTTCCTTTAGAAGCCTTCTGCTTCATGTTTTCCTATGAAGTGTGTTCTGATGCAACTGATTTGTTCTATGAGTAGCACAGGGAGCACTTAATGCCTGACTTTCTGCTGTGGATTCTGCAGCAGGGAGAAGGACTTGTGTAATTAATAAGTGATTGTGTGTTTAGTTGGGGTTTTTTTGTTCTTTTTTTTTTTTTAAGAATTGAGCCCAAATGAAGTGCAAAGTATGCACATCTTCTAGAAAAGGAAAGTGAATACTTTATTGCAATATGTCTTTATGATAGTAAGCATAGTAAAAGGACTTTCAGAATGAACTGATATTCTCCTGCCTTTCTGGCTCATTGCATATTTCAAAGAGTGGAGAAATAGAATATAGCAACAAAATGAAGCACCAGTGGTGGTACTCTACAAAATTTGTAATATTGTGTCCAATATTTGTTCTTTTGAACAGAGAAATTCGAGATATTCACATTAATTATCTGACACATTTTCTTTTGAGCAAACACAGCCCTAGTAATCCTGCAATGTGGATGGTTTTAATAGCTAACGCCATATCTGTAATTGTACTTAATAGTACAGTGTTGTCAGTACACTGACTATAGTGGAGAGTTGTTCAGAGTTTCCTGTGAAATCTGCCCATACATTACAAGAGGTCAAGAGGTTTAGAAAGAGCAGATAAGCAGTTTCATCAGTCCCTCTGTGCTGTAGACTTCTGTTGCTGTTTACATGTACCCCTGGCGCACTGTCAGCATCTAAGTATTATCACAACGTCCTTAGCTACATACTTGCATGTCCCTCAATACTCCCTTGCCTCATTCACTGCACAGTTTTCATCCTCTTGTAGCACCATCTTCTCGCAGCTGCCCCCATCTCTCTTGTTGCTTCAGTATTGCTGCTGCTTGCATACATCACTGAGACAGGAAAAATAGGTCAAGGACTGGGCTAAGGGAGATAGGAAAGAAGAGACGATAGTGGCAGTGAGATGTGCTTCAAAAAGATCTTGTTTCACTGCGGTTCCTGCCTCATTACATGCTTGAAAGTTTGTAGGAATGAGGTAAGAAAGAAAGCTATCATTTTCAGACAGTACTCTGGAGAACTGGGAGTCTGTCCCTACATACCCTAGGAATTCTCATTAATTACTGTGCCAGCTGAACACAGCTATTCCAAGGTAGTCCAATTGCATGCTTTTCTTTCCTTGGTACCCATGCTGAAATGCTGTGCTTGAATATATAAAAGCCTACCTATGTAACGAGTAGTTTTTAAACAGATCATAGGAACTTTCAGTTAGGCTGTTTAATTTAGTGGGTGCTTTAATCTCATAACTGTAAACCAAGGATAATTTTCTGTGTTTTGGTACTGAAAAGTATTTTAAAATGTGAGATATTTCAGTCTTCTGTAGTGACATTTAAGGAAATGCTACTGGAATGGGCTTTGGAAAAATCCATACATAATTATATTATTAGTAAAATATAGAAGTTCAGTTATATTCACTCAAAGGATAGTAAAAAAAACAAAAAAAATGTTGAACATTGTTCACACAGGATTTTCAGGGAAAGATTTAGCTCTGACAGCAGGCAAAGGGAATGTGTGATTGCATTTGGCAAGGAGCTCAAAGTTACCAATGCTGTAGGAAGGATTTGTTATTTAAGAGTCATTTCCTTTTCAGCAGTCCCTTGTATGTTCATATCAGAGGCATTTCTTCCTTTTGAGTTTACTTTTATCATTGACGTAGTCAGAAGTTTATGACTGTATTAACAAGGATTTTGTGTGTGAAACAGGTTTTTTCTCAGCCCAGTGTTACTTTATGCTGATTTTTATGTAAACTAACCCAGAAAATTGTGTTGTTTCAGCAGACTATTTATAGTGACTAATGTTTGAACTTGGTTGTTGTGGGCAGCATGCATATATGAATTCAGTAACTCAGTGGGGTCTTGGTCCTGTTTCTTTTAAGTCATTGGTAAAATAATACCATATTACAAAATAATATCAGAGAGCTGGATGAAGAAAAAAAAGTTCAAATATCATTTGATTACTCGCATCAAATAGTTGTTTTGTTTTGTTTTGTTTTTTTCAATTAATTAAATTTCAAGAAAGTAATTGAACTCTTCATGGCCTGAAACTGAGGTTTGGAAAATGCAAATTCTGGTTCTAGTACAGTATTTGCATGTGAAGATAATTCTAATCCAGATTCACTTAATTAGAATAAAGCCTGGACAATAGCTCTTGACAGGGAAATGCTAAGTTTTATTCTTTAGAGCTTTGAAATCTGTGATGGATAAGTTTTGTGTTTGAAAACAGTATTTTCATTCTGTTTTAACATATTGATTTTTTAAAACATGCTGATTTTGTAAAAATTGCTTACTTTAATGCACTTATTTTTTAAAAAAATTGCTGTGTAGCAATGTATTGTTTTCTGTTTCCATTCGATCTGGAGTTACTGTGGTATACCTTGTACATGAGGTCACACAAAATGAAATAAGTAGTTGGCAGACTAGACGGTCAAGAACTATCTTTTTTCTTTTTTCCCCCCTCTTTGTTCCTTCCAGAAAATTCTTGTTGATTTCGTGTTGCTTTTTCAGATGTTGTATTGTTGTCTGGCACTTTAGAACTGTTGAAAGATGCTCACTCATTTTTAGCTGCACTTTCAGAGATGGTCGTGTCACTAACTAACTCTTTCCTGGAGCCACTCAGGCTGATACCAGAATATTAAGGATCTTATTTACAAGCAGATGAGTACTTCTGTGCTTAGCAGAACTGAGTGGGCAGATTTTTTTTAACACCATAGCTATTTGAGAAATTCGGAAACAATGTACTAGGTTTTGCTTTAGGCAGGCTATGAATCTGAAGCTGAGCTAAAAAACTGTAATGGTGGGCCAAGTTAGTTTCAAGACCACTCTCTTTACTCTGTGAAAGATCCTGCTTTTTGGAAAGTAGCAGATCTAATCTCACCCTCTCTTCTATGCCTTGGGCTCTATACTATTCTGAAATAAACTTCCTGTCCAGTTTCCAAGATCTTCATAACTACTCTCTCAGGGCCTGCCTGGTTGTTACTCCTGGTTTTCTCTCATGTATGCTGTACCAAATGAATGCCTACAGAACGTGGCAATCCCGTCAGCCTAAAGTACAGGTCCACATCCACAGCAGTCTTTCATCAATGAATTTGTGGTATTAGATCTAAACCTACAGCGTGCCTGGAGGTCATGGCTGGATGCGTAGTGCAGGCGATATTCCGAGAGAACAAATTTTGAGTGAGAACATCAGGCCTCTCAGTTGGATTGGGTTGTGTCCTCCATGAAAGTGAAAGTACATGGGTAGTTACCAGCTATTTGTGAACAGTTTGTGTGGAAGGTGGCAGAGAAAATGTTCTTTCTGTGAAAATGTTAAACTCAGGAAGAGCAGTCACCATGTCCTTTTGAGAATTCTTGCAGTAAGTGAGTAGCATAGAGAGCCACTAACTACCTTGCATTAGTAATGGGAGTGTTTACTTAAACTTTTGTAGTAAACTGAAGTTACCTAAAGGTTTGTTTTGTTTTTAAAAAGGCGGGTGTGTTGTTAAAAACATACAATGAGATGGCCTTATAGCATTCTATCTTTATCCATGCAGATGCAGTAGCAGAAATAACTGTAATTCTTTACGGACTTGTATATATTGTAAACTTAAAAGCAGATTCTAAATTTCGGGTTTTTACATACTTGTAAACTGTCTTTTATTTGCAAGTAGCTTTCGCTTTTTTTTAAGCAGGCTACTGTTTCCTTGTTTGTAACCACATAGGAGTTAACATTTTATGGCTGATAGACATTCTTTTTCAAATGAGGTATATTCTCTCCTTATTCAGGAAGCTGGTGGGTTTTCAATGCACATGTGTTGTCCCTGTTGTCTTTCTTCTTTTTACCTTCCTGCTTTTTTTTTTTTGGTTTTTTTTTTTAATTTTACAGATGTCACCAGTCATCAGTAAATCAGGGGACCTGAAGTGCATCTCAGAGCGTGACACAGATAGAGACTCACCTGCAACACAGTAAGCAAGAAATATTTTAAATAATTTGTAGTGTTACATCTGCTAGGAAACAGTGACAAATGTCTGCAGGGTTATTTTGTCTTAGCTAGCAAAACAAGAAAATGGCTCTAGGGTACTCATTCAAAAAGAGTGCTTCACGCCTAAAATGTGAAGGAAATAACAGTTTATATATATGCATATGCAGAAAACTATATACTGTTATGTATATGGTAATCGTAACTAAAGGATAGAGCCTTGTCCTGTGGCATTCCTTACCTGAGTGTTAGGCTTTATTTATACAAACGGAAGATTCTTTTTGCACTTTCTGAAAATTAATACAAAATGGAAAGGGTTGCATTCTGAGAAGACATAATCTAATACTTAGATTATGTTGCTTGCATTTCCTAAAAATTTTGTTAATTTCTTGTGTGAAAGCTGTAAGAAGGTAAGATGTCAACGTTTTGAACAAGAGCTTCCACAATGTTTTTAGCTATTGCAAGCATTTATACTTGGAAAAATACACCTAAATGTACTTGTACTTGTTGGGTTTGCCATTGCAGATATCTGCATCTAAGCAAAGTTACTTCACTGATTATTTTCCAGATTGGTTCACTCGCCATTTTGTTCACCACAAAGAATACTTGCATATACAGTATAGACGGATATTTCTCTCTAATTTTAACTTTTAATTCCTAAATTTTTTTTTACGTCTCCACCGGTAGCTAGATTTGAAAATAAATTGTGAGCAGAAAGTTTAATACCCATCTTTGATGAGGAGTGCATTGTAAAATTATAGAATTCAGGGTTGAATTTTGACCATAACTATTCTCATAGGACTTAAGGAAGGAAATGCCTTAAATGTGCAGTTACTGTGACAGTTGACACAGTCAGAAATCGGTATGAGAAATTTGATAAAACTGAACTGCATTAATGGAACTAGAGCAAACAATTCTTTTGAGTGCCTTTTCTCGAGCAACTATTGAAGACTGGGGCAACACAGATTTAAAATGTGAAATCACAATGATTTAATAAAGTTCATGAATTTTGAGTCATGTCAAATGTTAAATATTAATTTTTATGAAAACTAAGTCAACCCTGATAATAGATCACACAGCAATGTCATCTTGGACACATAGAACCACCAAACTCTTCAGTTGCATTTCAGAACACTGAGACAAGACAAATGCATGCCTGTGTCACTGGAATGTACACCCTTCTGAACTTTCAGGCGCTGAAGCAATCATGGAGATGAAGTCATGTTTCATGTCACTGCTGTCTGATTTTGCAGTATTGCAAGCCTTTTTTGCAAGTTCTCAGGGTACTAAGCCATTTATACTTGATTGTTAGTGAGGCAGTGACAAATGCCATGAGATAGTATTTGATGTTATCCTTTATCAGGGGAAAGTTAACATGAAGAGGAAGAACTACAGTGCAGTAAGTAACACAGTGTTGTATTTTCCTTCCCTGTGACCAGAGATTCTAGACTTCATTATGTTATTGCTGCTTTGAAAGTACATACTTTGCGAGTTTTTCCATGAACTAGAATGTAACATACCAAGTTTTTCTTTCAGAAGTAACTGCAAGTTCTTGCCTTATTTTAAGAGCTGAAAGAGACAAGGATCTTCTTGCACCTTAAGTCACTTTGAAAAACTGTTTCATGTTTCTGCTTATACATTATTTATACTGTACACACTAGATATCAAAACATCTCTGAAACGTGGCTGCATATTTTTCTTTAAATGTCTCACTTCTTTGTACCTAAAACCATGATGAAGAGGGATTAGAACAGAGCTGTAGTTTTTCCTGTACACTGCATTTGTTGTGATTTGAGGTACCCTAGAAAATGACATATATGCAAATGTTAAGATGGTAAAGGAAATGATGTTAAGATGGTAAATGGAAATGTTAACTGGTAAAGTTTGTTACTGTAGCATCTAAAAGCTATTTCAACATGACTTGAGATCCAGTCTAATCTCTACTTAAATATTTGATCCATATGAAAGTTTCCATTCTCTTCATATTTTCTGAATAATATACTTAATATCACTGTCACATGTGATTATATAATAGGAATTAAGTAGTAGCTAAACAATAGAATCGTAGAGTGGCTTTTATGGCCACTAAATCAGGCTACCCTGGGCTCCATCCAGCATGGTGTTGAATGCTTCCAGGGATGGAACTTCACTCAGCCACCTGTTCTGGTGCCTTAACATCCTCTGAGTTAAGAATTTCCTTCTAGCATGTAACTTAAATCTTTCCTCTTTTAGTTTAAAACCATTCCCCCTTCTCCTATCCCTATCAGACTGTGTACAAGTGAGTCTCCGTCCTGTTTATGAGCACCCTGTAAGTACTGGAATGTCTCCCCACAGCCTTCTCTTTTCTGTAGTGAGCAGCCCCAGCTCATAGGAGAGATCCTGCAGCCCTTTTATCATCTTTGTGGCCCTCCTCTGTTCCATCTCCAACAGCTCTACATCTCATGCTGGGGGCTCCAGGCCTGAACATGGTACTACATGTGGGGCCTCACAGGGGCAGAATAGAAGAGGACAGTCACCTCTCCCTTGTCCTGCTGGCCACTCATTTTTTGATGCAACCCAGTTTACAGTTTGCCTTCCAGGCTGAAAGTGCACACTGCTGGCTCATGTCCAGTTTTCCATCCACCAGAACCCCAAAGTCCTTGTTAGTAGATCTGCTCTCAATGAGCTCTTCTCTCAGTCTGCATATACACCCAGAATTTCCTCAATCCAAGTGCATCATCTTGTGCTTGGCCTTGTATACCTCACTAGGTTCATGTGAGTCCGCTTCTCAAGCTTGTCCAAGTCCCTTTGGGGACCATCCCTTCTTTCTTTTTTGTCAACTTTACCACTCAGCTTGGTGCTGTGTGCAAACTTGCTGAGGCTGTACTCAATCCCACTGTCTAGGTCATTGATAAAATGTTGAAGAGCACCAGTCTCAGGATGGACCCCTGGAATCAGTTGAGATGTGATAACTAGGTACACAGTTTCTCTATGGAGAAATGAAATTTAGCACCTCCACAACTCACTATACCTTTATTTGAACCTTCGGGTGAGGTTTGCCATTTTTCCTAATAAAATGGTATGGCCACAATACCTGCTGTAGAATGAACTGAATGGTAACATACCTTTCAGAATTTCCAAATGGAAGATAGTTTTGCAATATGAAAACAAACTTTCTCCAAGGTGACAGGTGTTTTTTTTATCTTAGCCAAGCAGTTAACCTGTCTTCTGCAGTCTCTAGAGGAAGCAGAAACCTCCATATAATAGATACCAAGTGAAATAGGGTTTTTATTGGAGTATCTCAAGCATTTGTTACATTATCACACCTGATGTGATTGTTCAAATAGTAAAAAGATGAAAACTACTTCTCAGAATTAGATTAGTTTTATGCTGAAAATCTGCAGGATAGCTTCATCATTTAAATATGCGATTTCTCTGTGCAGACTTTTATCTCATTATATATATTCTCATTTTACAGTTCTCTTGTGCTACACAAAGTAGTGCTCTCTCCATAATCTTACAATGATTATACATCAGATCCAGCTGAACACTCAATTTGGTAGAAAATTTTGTTTAACGATTAATTATGATTTTGAATCCTGATTTTCTCAGGCAGCAATACTTCTCAATTTGTCCTAGGAATCCTAATGCAGAGGGTCATAACATCCTGAATCTTTTCCCTTGGGATACTGTAGTATTAGAGCTGCAGCAATTTATGTGTTTGTGAACATACAGTTTAGTTTTAAAAATATGTATCAACCTTATAGGTAGATAATAATTCCATTAGCAAAGCCAATACATGAATGTTTTGAAGTATAAAAAGTATTACATTAGTACAATATCACCAAGTATAATGGCCTTGCAGCAGAGTTTTTGGGGAAAATAGAAACATCCGTTGCATTCTGTAGTCTTGATTCTTCTGCTTAATTACATGCTTCAACAGCATCCAACCGAACACAAACCAGTGTTAGTTTGTGCAATGTGCTGTACAGATTTTGGATGAAGACAGTAGCTGCCCCTTGTAGATTACAGTTAAACTATTACACAGTTAAAGTTACAACTTCTGCCTGGCATCATCTGCAAGACCAGTCTTATTCCCTTGTTCAGGCAGCTAACTGGGAAAAATAAATGAATTTGACTGATACCTTTGTCATTTTCTGAAGTCTAACAAGTAGGAATAGACATTTAACTGACTAATCTTATGAATGTATCTTAGTTCAGGAAAGTTAAAATAGGAAAGCTAATCTTTTGCACTTTACCTGACTGTCTCCCTTAAAATGTTCAATAGTAAACCATGAATTATCTTTAATTGTAATAATTTTGATGCATAAACTTAGAAAAAGAAAAAAATAAAAAGACTCTTGCAATGACTTCTGTGATAATGAAGACTGTAATTGGTATTTTTTGTTACATCTGTTGACTGTCTATCAAGACTTGCTGATTTTTAAGATCAGGATCAGTTCTTTTGAAGGCAGTGCTGTGACATGGTGAAAAGCATTGTAGTAAAGTGGTCACATATTTTGTCCTCGTGTTTTTTTCTGTCTTTGTTCTGCAGTGGAACAGTAGTTTTTGTAGCTGTTTCAGCATTGTACTCAAGGGGAACAGGCAGACAATTGCTCTAACACATCAGCTGTGTGTGGAAAAAGCTCTAAATTTGAGCTAACTTTGTTTCTTTTACTCTTTTTATATCCACTTTTCTCTAGAAGCGTAAAGAAAAAGAAGAAAAGGATACAGAAGAACGAGATAGAAAATCAGCCCTACTTAATGGGTCTCGATTCTCCTGTATCATCAGCTAATGGTGTTGAAAATGAACCTACACCCCATGGGGTGGAATTGAAGAGGAAGAAAAGGGCGGTGAGAGGCTCAAACTTAATCACAAGTGGAAAGACAAATACTGCTTTTGAGCCTGAATGCTATGATGTGTAGTCATCATTTAATTCCAGATACTGGTGTGACATGCAATGTACTCTTACATTTGAATGCTGCAACTGCAGCTTCACTTCTAGGATTGACAAGAAATCAACAACAACAAAGAAATTAATCAAATGCACAAAATGGTGCTGGTTGTGAGTTCCCAGTGGTATAAGCCTGTTCAGAACAATTTTGCTCAGGGTTCCTTGAAATTAACAGAACTTGAATGTTCAGCTCCTCACTGTACTGGTAAAATCTGAAATGCACTTTCATATTTCATGAGAACTCCACTGGCAAATGTAGTGTTAACCATGTGATTGTATTCTGTCAGGCTGACCAGACATTTCTGTGGACTGCAGATCAGTCTACTGCAAGCAGAGAATAGAGTCGTAAGTGTGATCTTGAACAGAACAAGCCTGACCGCAACTGAAGTTCTTGAATAAGCATTTTATGGTTTTGTTGTAAAATTGAGCATGGTTCAGAATGGTGAAATTTCAAAGGAATGCTGATGTGACATTGTACCTGAAAAAACAAGCTTTTAAGAATTGTGTTCTCCTGAAGGGAAATATTCACTGGGACCACATTTTGCAGCACTTAAGCGAATGGTTTAGTATCTAACTATGCAACTGCTCTGACTTCATGGAACTACCCATGCTTACCAATACAAATAAGTGTTGCAGATTCTAGGCACTTATATTTTCAAATGAGCTTTTGTGCACATAGTAAAGGTGCATTGCAGTTTTGTCAGAGTTCCTGGCTGCTTTGGCAGAAGTCTTGCCAAATATACATTCTTCTGTCTGAATGAAATATTTTATTTGAAATTGTGTTGTTTGCTTTACTTTTTCAGTTGTATGTCATTAATTGTTTTTTGGTTTTTTTTTTCTTGAATATTATATTGTACACTTTCACTAATAATTTCACTAATTATCTGCAATTCTAAATAATTTATGTTTTATATTAAATGAAACACTTTCTATCAGTTAGTGTTGATATTTTTTTCTGGCTGATGATGTCCATTTTATTTTTGCTCTGCTAGGAAATTCTTCCTCCTCCCTCTCTGAAGCAATAAATAACATAAAATTAGAAAGCCCTTATTTAGTAGACAAGGCACTTGATTCCATTAAAAAAAGAAGTGAGAAAAACAGTGTTGGGCAGTGATGTGTGAAATGCCCCCAGATGCAGAGCACTAGTTTCTATATATTTTACAGAATCACAGAATCACACAGAATCACAGAATCACCCGGGTTGGAAGGGACCTCAAGGATCATGTAGTTCCAACCCCCCTGCCTAGCAGGGCCACCAAACACACACACACACAAGATTTTAATATCTTCCCTGCACATATTTTATAGCCAGAAAAATCTGTGAACTTGTTTCTTTTCAGTGAAAAGGAGCAGAAAATTTTCTTTTTAGTCCCATTGGTAACAGTAATTTGCTTACAATCCTAGCTACATGTCTAAGTTCATGTGTGTAGGAAGTTCTCCTCTAAATGGGGCATGTCTGTGTACTAGAACATTAGGAATGTCTCTTTTCCAGTGATCAGTTGTATAAAATTATCTTAGTCCTGGGACTGCTGCTTTTGGCAAGGTTCCTAGCTTCTTACATTGCTGCTTTTTTTGCAATATATTTGAATTTAAAGGGATTTAAAGACTTTATAATAGAGAAAAATCTCAACATCTTAGGTTGCTCTAAAATATCCTGGGTCACACTTAAAATAAGGGTAGAGCATGTGACATCAGGCTCCGCGTCAGGAAGAGCTGAGCAGTAGCCAAGATCTGGGAGCTCATTGGAAGGCATTGTAAAACATTAATTTGGCATTGTGGATGCTGAAGACAGAAATAACACTTCAGATAAACACCACGGAGAGATGGTAGTTCTAATCAAAGGCACAGCACCTCCTTTCATGCTTGCGAACTAGGGCTCCAATTATGTTCACTGCTCTGAAGCTGAATAGAGCTGCTTTGCCACACTTTCCAAATTGAGAGGAGAGGCAGCAGCAGTGTCTTCCAAGGCATGGTTCCAAATAACAATTAAGCAGAAGAAATCAGATAAGAGCCAAGCATGAAAATGTGTGGAGTTGGAAATAAACTTTTCATAATGTTTTCTTGTAATTGCAGTATCTTTTGTTTCTGTAATTTTTTCCTCCCTATCACGTGCTTGGCTGGACTCTTCTATTGCTTTATACCGGATTACTGCTGTTTTAGAGCTTTTTGCATTCGTTTGACAGAAAATGAAGAAAAGTAAGGATCTGCAATTAAAAATTAAAAACCAACTCCAAGTGTTCCTTCAGTATTTAGGTTAGAACTTGCAGACAGATTGCTTCTCAACAAATTATTGACAGGGCATTATAGAAAAGACAGTTTTTACTTTTTGTTTTCAATTTTAGGAGTTTCTTCATTCTTCAGATATTGTCACTGGTATTCTAAAGTTGCAAGAGAGTAATACTTTTGAACAGTTTGGAAGAGGATAGTGTTTTTTAAATGGTTTGAAATTAAACTTTCTATAATGCGTGTTGTTTCAATGTTAATGCAACCTACGTATTTTTTTTATGTCACTTCAACATGAACATTGTGTGCATTTGCTGACAGTTGTCCAAGTACTTAAAAGAATTCACGGCAAGTTCAGAATACCTATTGAAATTTTTCCTTGTTTGTGTAAGTTGAAGAACTATAGTCAGTACTCTAATACATGAGTGCCCTGCAGAGTTGCTCACTGATATGAAATACCAGAATTAAAAACATCTGTTGGAGGAGTTTTTACAGGGTGATACTGGTTCATTGCTAGTACAACACAGATAAAACGTTGTTTAAAAAAGGGTAAATAGTGGATATTTATAACTGCCTGGCGATAACAGCACAGTAGGTCTTTCATTGTTCTGGTGTTTTTTGATTTTATGTGTGTGTGTGGTTGCAACATAGAGCTGCTATTACATTTTTATAATTTGGCAGAGATATTGTGAACAATGAACGCATAAATTAACAAAATAGGAACGAAGGGATGGCACTTTTTTCCTGTGTTTCCCAATAGCCTTCAGATTGCATTTAGTGTTTTCCTTAAAATAGTTTGAGGAACAGACAGCGTAGAACACAATAAGTGTATTTGTAGCATCACTTAATTCAGAAGGCAATAGGGGATGGATCACAGTCAAACAAGGGCTAATGAGAACACAGAGGAACATGACAACCGAAAGTCTCTGTTGACTAGTGAACTAAATCTGCCGGCTGGACCCAATTGTCTGATGGAGAATTGAATGTCAGGATCACTTAGGGTTAACAATGGCCCATTACAAGCAAAAGCAGACAGCTATGAAAAATAGCCGGCATGGTCGCCGTTCTGCAGAGTCTGTGGATGCAAACTTGATAATGAGGCACTTCATTCACTACATCCTTCTGCTCTAATTACTAAGGTGAATAGGAAATACTTCATTTAAGGCGGGAACAGACTAAAGCAAAAACACTTGTTTGGTAAACACAAAGAGTGATGGGGGGGGTCTAATGATCCTTTTCTAGCACATATGAAATTAGTATGTGTGCAGTACAGCCTATTTAATGGATGTGAATTTTGGAGGGGATAGGAGTGTTTTTGAACAGTAAAGGAGGGCTGAAAAGATTCGTGTACAGGCTTGTGCTGAGGTTTCTTTCCTAAGTGTTCTATCCTATGGCTACATAGAATGTTTTGGACAAACTAATATGTGGATGTACACCTGCACTTGTAAAAACATATTGCATCAGTTCAAGGACTTACACTGCTTGAAGTATAAATACGTGCATTAGGAGAAGAACTCTTGCATATAAGGAATAGAAACAAGCAGAGGTCTGAGAGAGGGAAATAAGCAGCTTAAGAAGAAGACTACTGTCTGGGTGAGACTTGCAAGCATGTGGCAATTAGAAATTGGAACTTAAGAAGAAGGAACAGAAGATAGAGGGCAGGCGTGTTAGAGCAGAGCTTGGGTGTTTTTTGGACTTCAGAAATTAAGATATTTAACCACTTCATCTTTTGATACATTTAAATGTTGTGCTATTTACAGGAGCTTGGATGAAATCTTGGAGCCTGTGATGAATATTCTCCTGTGGCTTCTCAGAAATCCATGACTCAGCCATAACTTTGAGCTGGAATCCAGAAAGCTCCACATATCTGGCCTATGCTGTTGGGGTGGCTGGCACTTTAGTTCCCTAATTCTGCTGCTGGCACAGATCTTTAGAGGGCACTTTTCTAGCTGTTGTCTGCTGCCATGTGTGCCTCTACTTCGGTTTATTGTCCTCTGGCCTCTTTATCCACTGTAAAGCAGAGCAGTGATGAGAACATCACACACAACATTTATCTACTAGTTGGAGCATCATGTGTCATACAAATGAACTGTTATACAGAAATATGCCTCACACACAGTGTTTCTGGCAAATGCTGTGCCTGTTACATTCTGGCTGGCTGCTGCCTTTCCCTTCAGGGCGCTCTGTTCTCCAGTGGTTACACATGTATTGAGAGTCCCAGTCCTGTAAGCTGCTCAGAGTCAATGCACCGCTGTACTCAAAGCTCCAGCAGAGCTGGCCAGGCTTCTAGGAGCCACATCATGGCTGTAGTTTGTACAGCAATGTATGCTGACTTAAAAGATTGCAAAAATAATTTTAGCTGGCTCTCATAAATGAAAATGATAGCTCTGCTACAGAGTTCCCACCTACAATTTCAGCTACCTGTTTTGTGTTGTTGTTTTTTTTTTGGTTTTTTTTTTTTTTTTTTGGTGAGGATTTTTTCAGGCCAAATTAATTTGCACAGTTTGGTTGTGGCAAAC